AGGTCCCTCCCATTTTTGTCCTTTAACATACAGTATCCATCTTTGCACAAAATGTTCTTTTAATATCTCTAATCTTTTAAATAGATCCCTGTTTTTTCCCTTTCTATTATTTCTTTGCACTGTTCATTTAAGAAGGCCCTCTTGCCTCTCCTTGCTATTATTTGGAAGTCAGCATTCAATTTGTTTGTACCTTTCCCTATCTACCTTGCATTTTGTTTCCCTTCTCTCCTCTGCTGTTTGTAAGGCCTCGGACAGCCACTTTGCTTTCGTGCATTTCCTTTTCTTTGGGATGGTTTTTATTGCTGCCTCCTGTACAATGTTATGAGCCTCCATTCATATTTCTTCAGGAACTCTGTCCACCACATCTAGTTCCTTAAATTTGCTCTTCACTTCCACTGTGTATTCATAAGGGGGTGGGTTAGATTATATCTGACTAGCCCAGTGGTTTTTCTTCCTTTCTTCAGTTTAAGCTTGAGTTTTGCTATAAGAAGCTGATGATCAGAACCCCAGTCAGCTCCAGATCTTGTTTTTGCTGACTGTATAGAGCTTCTCCATCTTTCACTGCAGAGAATATAATCAATCTGATTTTGGTATTACCCATCTGGTGGTGTCCATGTGTAGAGTCGCCTCTTAACTGCAGAACTTCAGTTTAACCACTGTCCCATGAAGCTCCTATGAGCCATGAGATTAGGAGAAGACAGTAACTGAGTGAAGCAGTAAATTCAGCTGATCAGCTAGCAATTCTCCTTTATTTGCATATTTGACTGTGGGGCTCCTTCAGATTTTCTGAACATTGGTATAGGAAGTTCTCAAAAGTGAAAGCCAGGGAAATGTTATATGGTAAGCATAACTGAGAGCCCTAGTTTTCAGATATGTCAGTCTGTTTTAACATCCAGCTTTCATATCAAAAAGTAGTCACATAAAATTCTTTTAAATCAGCTTTCATACAGGTATGTTTCAAGGTTCTGGTGTGTTAGGTTCTGAAGTACATGTTAATTTAGAGAGGACTAAATGATGTCACAGTGATGTTTGTATGTGTTTTTGGTCTAAAGGTTCATCTATTAAATTGCCAAATTTTATTGACGGGAAAGGAGAAAAGAAAGGGCGGAATTATATATTACACCAATCATCCAAGTACACTAGTCATCATAGCAGTTTTACAAACACTGAAGTTTCATTAAGAGGGTAGATTTCTTCACTGTTGTCAATGTGGAGCAGGATAAGAGTTTAACATTTTAGGCATTTGCAGCTGTCTTACTTCGCATCATATAACCTATGTGTTTCATGTTTTACTGCTACACAAAGGGTTTTATATTGATTTATGGACAATTTATCTAGAAAAGAAAAGTATTTGTTAAAGCAATCTGTAGAAAAAGGCTATGAATTCAATGTCAAATGAATTTGAATTTACTTCAGAAAATCTATAGAAGCCAGATTTACAAGGTTTTCTCTCTTAACTAACTGAGGATAATTCCAGGCAAAGATGGTAACTATCAACCGTGAATTTAAATTATTAGTGTCCATCTACAGACCACATCCAGAGGTCCCTGTTACAAAGTTACACATTTTTGTAGAGTTTCCATCTTCTTCATGAAGTGGTACAGGCACACGGGCAAGATGGCAGAGTTATGAAAATATCATATAACTAAACATGAGATGTTGATGAACCAGGGCATTGGGTGACGCTACACTTTTGGTGGTGTTATCCTCTTGCAGTAATCACTTATTAAATATGGAATACATCATTGGGGATCTACCATCCCATAACAATGAGATCAGAAATTACAGTTGTTCACAGGTTTTGTAACAGGTCTGGAGAATTTGTGATCCTCCAGATGTGGTCAGTTCCTGACAACACTAACCATGGTGACCATCCATGAATTAAGGTTCTTCTTGCTTACTTAAGATTTAGAGTTCATTAACTTCTGAAAGGCAAATGATTCTTCACCCCTGCTCTGTAGTTCTGACATTTCAGCACAGCTTGGATGTTTCTTCCCTATTGGAAGACACCACAAAAGCATCCAAATAGTCACCTACTGAGATTCATTAGAATTCTAGTGAATTCAAAATAGAGGAGATGCCAATTCCATTCAAAAGAACTGTGCATTCTCCTAACCCAACTAGTCGATTGATCTCGCTCAAAGGAATTTCCCATACAGGGGTTTCAAACAAGCTAAGCTTGGAGAAGGGCTTATACCGGGCCAACCATAAAGAAAGGTCTGAGCCTACTTCCTTCTTTATAGCAAGTGCAACCCCACACATCTACACAGCGGACAGGCCATTTTTTGGTGGTGATGGTGGGGAAGACCGATACATATATTTTTATTTGTTTAATGAGACCCAAGAGTTTTCTGATTCTAGTAAAAAACAAAAACCAAGCCAATGGGTAATACAGGGTCCACATGCCCAGGATTCTGACCTCCTTATGTATACATCTTACAGGATAAAAGAAAGTGCTCCCTCAGTATTTCTCAAGTACAGGCCACATAAGGTAGGACTAATGGAATATGCCACACTTCTTGCAAATGCACAGAAATGAAAATGGAAGAATCTGTCCTCAGAACTTATGGTAAGCTAGTCGTGAATTATCACAGCAATTGCAGGAGTTGCATGCTAAATTATATAAAAGTATGCTTGCAGTCCTAATAATCATATTCAGATCAAGCCAGATATGCCAGCTATATAGCTGGGAGATAGTTCACTGACCTGCACCTCAGCTTACATAAACGCCTAATGTTGCTGGAAGTCTGGTTACTTTAGTGTGACTAGCCTATGTAGCATGTATGTTTATTCTTAAGCACAGAGGTACACAACAGGAAAAAAAAGTGAAAGCACTGTTGGGATAATCACATATGTATCTAACTAACACAGAACACTATATAAGCATACCTAAGGTTTCTAATGCAGACGTTTCTTCTCCATGTTATATATCTCCAGGGGGTAATTGCAAAAAGGCAATAGATTAAAAAAAATCTATTGGAAACCATAAAGACATAGATATGACTTTTATGCACAACTGTAATTTTTTTTCTTTCTACTTGGTAAAAATGAATAGAAAAAATCACTGCTTTTTAACATAAAAGAGAGATACAAATATATAACTTTGGTTTTATACTTTCTTGATTTGGATGTAAAAAAAATAAACAAAACCTTGCAATGCATCTCTGAAGCAAACAGGCAATTGCTTGGGGGTCAAAGACACATTTTGCATGTATGAGCTCTTGACTTTAGCTTCTGGCATCTCCATATCAGGGACTACGAGTAGGAGATGATGATGAGAGAGACCTCTGTACAAGATCTCGGACAGATGTTTGTCTTTCTGCCTCTTCCTCGCTGCCAGAACAGCCTTGGCTAAAGGGACCAATAAACTGACTCAATATAATCAGCAGCATGTTTTCACACTAAATCCAAGTCTGCGCACCCAGAACAAATTCAAGGTGCAAAAGCAGTGACATTTAAAAAGTAAAATGTTTGATTTTTTTAAAAACAACCAATTAAGTAAATCACTCTTCAGTCAAAACACTGCTGTTTTTTATTGAGCTGCATATTATTCCAGAAGATGGCGCTATTGATTTTTGTCATGCCTTTGGAAGTTACTGGGGGACGGCGGGGAGGGGGATTTTTGTCCAGATTCCAGTTAATATGTTTTTTGCATTTGAAGCCTTGCATACTTATAACCCAGCGGGAAAAAAATATGGTGATGTAATGTGATTTTAACTATTACTTTCCAATATTTTCAAATATGCAAATCAAGGTAATATAGAATATTTTCCAGGACAAACCAGCTAGACAATATATAGCTACAAAAGAATTATAGGGCTAATGGAAAGAGCAAGGTCGGCTTAAATTTTATGAAATGGAAAGGACAATATGTAAATAAGGAAATATTATTTTGGTTACACCAGTGTATTTTTCATGCCGTTGCCTGTATACCTTTCATAGCCTTATACTTAATGGATTTTACCCTAGGATATTGGCTTCCCACTCTACAATACGCCTTAATTTCAGAATAATAATGTTCTTACTAGCAAATATGTTTCTCAAATGACCTGTGGAAAAAAATCTTTTAGATTACTTGGCAACATTGAATGAGCAGAAAATAGCAAATGTGCAGTGCCTACCTTTTTTTGACAATTAATATAACAAGCAGGAGGAGGAGAATGAAGACTAGAATTCCAGCACTTATTCCTGCGATTTTCACAACACGGTCTGTCTGCTTGGCTGGGTCAGGAATTACCTCTGGTTCTTCTGTTGCTGCTGCTGAGAGAAAAACAGAGAGAAAAGTTATTTGAATTGTTCAAATTGGAGAAGATGACCCCCCAGTCCAGAGTAGGATATTTTTTGAAGAAACTATGTGTTTTTATTGTATTTGGAAAGGAAATGTGTACACATAACCTGGTCATTTCCAAGTCCATAAATATATGGATACATTGTGGGTAGCATTTTTTAAATATGTTGTACTGCATGAGAAATGCTATAAATCCTAACTTTGTTCATCTGCACAGAAAATAATAAAAATTTCTCCCAATAAAACATTATCTTTGCTTTAAATGGCAAGAATTTTGTTGTAGGTCATAAAAATACTTTCATGTTTTAAGACTGGGTATTGTGTATTTATCGAAAACATGCAATGTCAGAAGATGTGATGTGTTGCACTTCTGCAAGAATTTACAAATGAAGAAGCACTGAATGGGTTGTTTATGTCTTTATAATCAATAAACCACCTTCAAAGATTTCTGCCTTGTCATGGCAAAGGGGCTGGAGTAATTAAGAGAAGTTATGGGCTATGCCGTGCAGGGACACCCAAGACCGACAGGTCATAGTGGAGAGTTCCGACTAAACATGATCCACCTGGAGCAGGAACTGGCAAGCCACTCCAGTATCTTTGCCAAGAAAACTCCATGAACAAAAACAAAAGGCTAAAAGATATGACACTAGAAGATAAGCCCCTCAGGTCAGAAGGCATCCAACATGCTACTGAGGAAGAGTGGAGGACAAGGACAAGTAGCTCCAGAGCTAATGAATTGGTTGGGCCAAAGCCAAAACGACGCTCAGCTGTGGATGTGCCTGGAAGTGAAAGGAAAGTCTAATGCTGCAAAGAAAAAGACTGCATAGGAACCTGGAATGTAAGATCTATGAACCTTGGTAAGCTGGATGTGATCAAACAGGAGATGGCAAGAATAAACCTTAATATCCTGGGCGTCAGTGAAAAAAAATCGACGGGAATGGGTGAATTCAATTCAGACGATTATCATATCTACTATTGTGGGCAAGAATCCCGTAGAAGAAATGGAGTAGCTCTCATAGTCAACAAAAGAGTGGGAATAGCTGTACTGGGATACAATCTCAAAAATGATAGAATGATTTCAAAACGAATCTAAGGCAGATCTTTCAACATCACAGTCATCCAGGTTCATGCATCAACCACCGATGCTGAAGAGACTGGAATCAACCAATTTTAAGAAGACTTCCAACACCTTCTCGAACTGACACCAAAGAAAGATGTTCTTCTCATTACAGGGGACTGGAATGCTAAAGTAGGGAGTCAAGAGATAAAAGGAACAACAGGCAAGTTTGGCCTTGGAGTACAAAACAAAGCAGACCAAAGGCTAATTGAGTTTTGTCAAGAGAACAAGCTGGTCATCACAAACACTCTTTTCCAACAACAAAAGAGGTGACTCTACACATGGACATCACCAGATGGGCAATACCAAAATCAGATTGATTATGTTCTCTGCTGCCAAAGATGGAGAAGCTCTATGCAGTCAGCAAAAACAAGACCTGGAGCTGACTGTGGCTCTGATCATCAGCTTCTCATAGCAAAATTCAAGCTTAAACTGAAGAGAGTAAGAAAAACCACTGGGCTAGTCAGATATAATCTAAACCCAATCCCTTATGAATACACAATGGAAGTGAAGAACAGATTTAAGGAACTAGATTTGCTGGACAGAGTGCCTGAAGAACTATGAGTTCCAGAAAAACATCTACTTCTGCTTCATTGACTACGCAAAAGCCTTTGACTGTGTGGACCACAACAAACTCTGGCTAGTTCTTAAAGAAATGGGAGTGCCTGATCACCTTATCTGTCTCCTGAGAAATCTATATGTGGGAAAGGAAGCAACTGTTAGAACTAATATGAAACAACTGATTGGTTCAAAATTGGGAAAGAAGTATGACAAGTCTGTATATTGTCTCCCTCCTTATTTAACTTATATGCAGAATACATCATGCAAAAGACCGGACTGGATGAATCCCAAGCTGGAATTAAGATGGCCAGAAGAAATATCAGCACCATGATCACTGCAGATGGGGACAGCAGTCACGAAATTAAAAGATGCCTGCTTCTTGGGAGGAAAACAATGACAAACCTAGAGAGCATTTAACAAAAACAGAGACATCACCTTGCCGACAAAGGTCTGCATAGTCAATGCTATGGTTTTTCCAATAGTGATGTATGGAAGTGAGAGCTGGACCATAAAGAAGGCTCACGACTGAAGAATTGATGCTTTTGAATTGTGGTGCTGGAGGGGACTCTTGAGAGTCCGCTGGACTGCAAAGAAAACAAACCTCACTGGAAGGACAGATCCTGAAACTGAGGCTCCAATATTTGGCCATCTCATGAGAAGAGAAAGACTCCCTGGAAAAGACCCTGATGTTGGGAAAGAGCGAAGACATGAGGAAAAGGGGACGACAGAGGATGAGATGGTTGGACAGTGTCATCAAAGCTACCAGCATGACTTTGACCCAACTCCAGGAGGCAGTGGCAGACAGGAGGGCCTGGCGTGCTCTGGCCCATGGTGTCACCAAGAGTCGGAAACAACGTAACAACTAAAAAACAACAACAATCAATAAATCTGCCCCTTTGTGCTTTCAATGCATGTGAGCTTAGCTTGAATGAAAGGAAAAGTCAACAGTTTTGTGCTGAAATAATGTACACACAATGTGGAAACAATGACAATATATGACTAGTATCTCAGTGTCATGCTGGAGATGAGATCTCATACAGAGGCTGGAGAATCTTAAACAGGCTCCCTAGCTGTGCCAAGTTGGTTTGTCTTGACCAAAATGGGAGTGACATAGCATATATCCAAAGTTTAACTACACAGTGTGAATTTTGGTACAGAGCTATTAAAATAGCCTATACATATCTATTCAAGGGTTGGTCCCACTGAGTTTATCATGTACAGAACTTTAGCCTAGAGCTGGTATGCAGTTAAGCACTGGTAGAACCTAAAGCCTTATCAGTATAGTGATGCCCTTAAACAATTAGAGATCTCTGTGACAAACTGCCAGGTTACACAAGCACCAGAATGGCCTAGATATTTTCTTTTTCTAGAACATACCTGCTTATGCTCTGGTCACTACATGGGCTATTTAACTGAATAGGATTCTCCCGAAGTACTTATTCATAGTCTGTTTTTAGTTTTTGTTTTTTAATCAGGCTCAGAGTATAACAATAAGTGGTCATACAAACATGTATACGATGGTCCGGTGTGATCATTCCATTGCTTTGTGACTTAAAGGAAAGGAAAAATTAACTAACTTCTAGGATATCTTGTTGAAAAATACTCTGTACCACCATATATTATATTCTGTATAAACTAGATTAGAAACTGGGACAAAGACAGTGGGAGTTAGAAGGAAGACATGGCCCAGACAAAGGCCCATTTTTCAGATATCCACACCTATGAAACTCATTAGGAATATGAGAAGATTTCAACCGGCTGAAGTCTGCATTTCAAAATGTCTTCTAGTTTTAGGAAACACTTCTGACCTACAATGTTAATTTATGTTCAACTCTTGGAATTCTATTATTTGGTGCTTAAAATTGAAATCTGGCAATTGGATGGTTATTCAGTACCTAGAAGATGTCTTCTTCACAGATTTGGACAGGTTAAGAATTCATGGTGTAAAGTATACAAGAACATCTGGCAAAATCCAAAGAAACAACACAAAAAAGATAAAAACAGGTGGCACCTCAAAGAGTAACTAATGTATTTTAGCTTTCGTGAATGGGTCGGCTTCATCAGACATATGCAACGAAAATGAAATACTGGATGAAATACCAATTGCACAGGTGAACGATGCTAAATATTCATTGGCTCTAAGAGTCTTGGGTATTTGGTTAGTTCTCACATTCAGTGATTTATGTCCTATGTTTGGTGTTAGGTTGCAATTTTCCTCCAGGAGGTAGAAAATAGTATACAACAATTTTCAAAAACTGACACGAAGGATGCTTATCTGGCAGCAGAGGAGAAGGCACAGGAGTTGTTTAAGATGGACCTCTTTTGGTTCCCAGAAAATGATGATAGAACAGGAAGCAGAACATAGGAAAGATTTTTCAGAAGGAAATGATCCAAAAGATCCAAAGGTTGCTAATGAGATTAGGGTGAAAAAAAAATTAAAAGCAAGAATGAGCTAGAAGGTATGAAAGTATTTCATTCAGAGATGTAATGGTTTCCTTTTGGTGTGAGAACCCGTATTTAGTAGATCAAAGCTGTAGGCATATTGTGATAGTATAGATGAGTTTGACTTTAAAATATACTAGGGGAGCAGGCCATGACTAGAGATATGAACGGGCTTAGATTTGACACAGGATCTCACATGCCTGGAGAGTATTCATCCTCCTATGATAATCCTAGTTATCTAAATCAATAAGGGCAAAACACTTAATAGGTAATTTGTTTCTACTTTGCTAGTCCTAGAAGTGAGAAATGAGATGTCTCACATGTCACGTCAGTTTCACGTTTGGAGACACAGCTCTGTATCACCAAAAAAATGTAGACTGTATAAAATGATGCCCCATAATTTATGGAGCCCAGAATACAGAAAGGAGCCTTGCTCCTTTTGATGGAAGTCAAGACAAACAGATTTTGTGAGTGTGTTTTCAGCCTTTAGGATGAGACAGGCTAGAATGTATATGATCTGTTTGGATGGAATACATTTTAATTTTTGTTTCTCTGAAAGTTAAATGAACACAAACAAATACAAACAAAAAAATTAAACAAAGCTATACATTTTTTTAAAAAAAACATTCCAGTCTGATTTAAGAAAATATCTTAGAATGTTCATCTAAGGAGTATCTATGGTTTGCAACCACTCGTTGTCAATGCCCCTGGCCACACCTTATGGCTATCAGCATATGAAAGGGAGGAGTCTTTATTTCATGGACAGAGTAATGTGTCCTGTCCTTTTGCAGTCCTTTATAACTGTCAATTAGGCATGACTCTGACTCAATCCCAATTTTCAGCAGTATTCAC